GTACTCCTGGCCCAGGCATCCCCCCTCCTGGAATGGTCCAGATATGCCTGGCTTGGAAGAAAAGTGGGGGATGGCATTCTGACCACCCCAGCAGCGTTAGCACCCCCCAAATATGGGCCTCCCATGTCTGTCTGAATTAACTGACATTCAGGGCCTGGGGGGGGGGCCCAAACACACACCACCTCTCCCCTAGATCTGCTGAATAAAAGTCAGAAACAGGAGGCACTCCAAACCAGGGGCATCCCCACATCTGTTTGAATTAACTTTTAGTTCCTGGAGGTTATTCCTCAAACAATGGCATTCTTGTTCTGGTTGACTGGACCTTAAGGTCTTATGCAGGTCTTATGCAGGTAGCCAAGTCCTGGCCTCAGGGAGCCCTCCTGGTGGGGGTGGGGGAGGCACCCACCCCTTTCAGGTGGATTCGGAACACCCGCCCCCAACCCGTCTCCCACTGTGCCATCGGATGCCCGCAGGTGAGGGGGCAGGGTCCCTCCAGCACAGTGCCCTGTGGAAAGGGGGCGTCTGTAAACTGCACTGGGCAGCCATTCCCACCTGCTAAGACTTCAAAAAAGGAGGCTGAGCCAGGTGCAGAGGAGGGAGAGGGCGCGGGAAGCTGTTGTCTGCCTACCTGTCACCCGGCAGTCAGAAGTTACAGTCTCACGTGACTCACAGTACGAGCTCAGTAAAAATGAACTATTATTATACATGGACTGAACACTTTAAGTGCACTATCTCATTTCACCCTCACAACAACCTTAAGAGGAAGGTTCTGTTATTATTACCCCCACTTTACAGATGAGGAAACTGAGGCACGGAGCTGGCAGTGCACCCAGACAGTCTGGCTTCAAAGCATGGGTTTTTATGCTCAACTGACTCTACCTCCCCCTCTTCCCCTGGGAAAACCCAGGCTGGCCGCAGGCACTCCAGTCGCAGGGATGGAGCTGAGGATGGATGGGGCCGCTTACCGGGCAAAGGCGATGAGCTGGCGGCTGCACAAAGCGTGCGAGCAAGGGAGGGATAGATTGGAGATGGTCTAGATGGGTAGACGGCCCACGGACAGATGAAGTGCAGAACAGGTAGAGAGTGTCTTCAGAATCGTCCCGGGGCTAACGGGTCCGGGCTTTATCCCCCCAGGCGCCTCCGGGCAGCCAATGGGGCCCCAGGACAGGCCACACCCCCTCCAGGCCCCGCCCCCTGGCCCAAGGCCGGGGGCTTCCAGGAGGGGAACCAGCAGCTAGCGGCGCCTCTCTCTGGCAGCTGCTTCTGTCTTTTTCCCAGTCCCGCTAGCCACCTCCCCTTCCCCATCCACAACCTCACTTGCAAATGAGGACAAATACCTACTTCCCTAGGGATTTTAGGAGGCTGCTGGAGGAGGGTGTGCGATAACGCACTTAAAGTCGCTAGCGCGCGTGCTTGGCAGTTAGTAGGCACCCAAGAAACAAACAGTGGAGAAAGTGGATACTATTATCATCCCGTCTTACAGAAAGGGAAACTGAGGCACACAGTAAGAGGGATGAGCTGGCACTTGAACGCAGCAGTCTGACTCCCAAAACTGCAATCTAAACACAGTTTTTAAAATTGCCGTCCCCTGTCATCCTTTATGACCCCTTTGTCCTAAAGGGGCAGACAGCCTTATGGGTAAGACCCAGGAGGGTCAGGGTTCAAATCCTGGCTCTGCCCTTTACTAGCTGCGTGGCCCTAGGCAAGTCACTTTGGCTCCTGGGGGCTCTGTTTGCTCATCTGTAAAATGGGGATGATAATGGTACCTCCCTCCTAGGATTAGATGACATGATAACGTATGTATGTATGGAATTGAGTGTGAGTGTTCAGTAAGTGCTGGCAGCCATCACCATCATCCTCACCATCATCTTCATCATCACAGAAGTGGAAGGTCTTGCCTCCCTGCCCCATGCCAAGCCTCGGATCTGTCGCTGGCTGTCTGCAGGGGTCTGCATCCCCACAGGGGTGGTGCGCGCGCGTGTGCGCGCGCGCGCGCACACACACACACACACACACACACACACACACACACACAGAGTCGGCTTTCTCCCTGGCCCCTTCAACAAAGCTTTCTTGTCCAACTGGCCAGGAAAAGAATATCGATGAGACAGAGGGCAGAGAGGGCACAGACAGACCACACAGCCATCCCCCTCCATGCGACAAGCTGTCCCCCTCTGACTATCCACAGGCCATCCCTGTAAGGCCAGCAGGTCCGGGGAAGGGCCCAGGGAGCCAGACGGAACCCCCACCAAAGTGGCTGATGCAACCGACACCTGACATTGCCACACCACTCGGCCCTGATCTTCCCACTCCCCGAGGGGCGGAACCAAGGGCTCTGAGACTGATGCAACCGACACCTGACATTGCCACAACACCCGAGAGATTACCAAAAAAGGGCTGCTTCACACAGCAAGCACCTCCCCTGCGTCCACCCCTATAAATTTTGTTCGCGCCCACACCCGGGCGCGACTTCTCTGGCCCCTTTCTCTCGGACCAGTGAACCTCGCCCGGGAGCGTTCCCAAATAAAGCTTGCTTAAGCTCGCCTCCATTTTTTGGTGCCGTTCCTTACAATCCCGAGCCCCCCTTCCTAGTGGGACATCCACAGCTGTGTGTTGGGGATCCAGGGTGGCGGAGCTGAAGGGATGTGAGCATCAGGAAGCTCACGTGTAGCCACAGCCTCCTGGTGTGCATCTGAGTGTATACAGCTGGCGCTCACTTTGCCCGAGTATCTGCTTGTGCCTGATTCCATGTCAAGTGTTTCCTATGTGGGTTTTCACTTAACCCTCAGACAGCTAGGGGAGTGGGCATTTTGAATCCCACCTCACAGGTAAGGAAACAGGCTCAGAGGTGAAGTAAAACTGCCCAAGGTCACCCAGGAGGCAGGGATGAAATGAGTCAACTGAAATAAAACCGCACAAGGTGAGAGCTGTGAGTTTCAGTTTTATTTGGGAGCTTACTGAGGACAGTAGCCCGGGCAGGAGACATCCTCCCAGATCGCTCTAAGGAGCTGCTCCAAAGAGGTGGGGGCGGGGGGGGGGGCGCGGAGAGGTCAATACATATAAGATATGGTGAAGGGGGTGCACGCAATCCAGCAAACATCTCGGTACAGCGTTGCTGCTATTCACCAGGAACAGACATCTCCGTTAATGACTTTAGTGCTTTTCTAGGTATGAGAAGATACAAGAAATTGGGTTCCTAAAAATTTTTCCTGAAAATATCCAACTGTCTGAAGGCCTGTTCTGCCAATTTTCCCAGAGCACAGAGCGCCTCATTCCTGATCACAGCCCTGAACTCCTTTTGGGCAGGGTGTGTTGAAGGTCAGAGATTGCAGTGGCTAGCGACGTCACTCTTGTAGAACCAGGTGACCAGTGATATTTTTTAGTTGTCAAGTGCAAATTCAGGAATTCTGAGTCCTTCATGGATACAAGGCTGATGGAGGGGTTGGAGGTGGGGGTCAGGGAGGGCATCTGGCCCAGCCTGGTCACAGTCAGAAGTCCCAGATTTAGGCTTTTGATGCTGCCTCCACACGGGGGATTAAGCTCCATTCCAGTGGAACAGCACCCTGACTGGGCGGTGGGAAGCTGCAAGTGGTGGAAACAAGGTGATTAATTCGTTCTTTTGACCTCTGTGTATTGGTCCATTAATTTCAACAAGAATGGATCACGGCTGTGATTTGAAAAACACCAAATTAAGAAAATCAATCCTATAAGAACCAAAAAGAGAGGAAAAGACAAAATATATATCATTTTTGATATACCGTCTGGGCATTTAAAAAAAAAGTAACTTTACTGGGACTTCCTGTGCTTCCAATGCAGGGGGCATATGGGTTCCATCCTTGGTCGGGAACTGCATACCATACTGCACAGTGCAGCCAAAAAAAAAAAAAAGTAACTTTATTGAGATATAATTCACAAGGCATACAATTCACCCATTTACAGAGTATCAGCTTTAGAACATTTTCATCATCCCACAAAGAAACCCCCGACCCAATAACAATCACTTCTCCTTCTCCCCCCTCCCTCCAGCCCCTGGCAACGATCAATCTGCTTTCTGTCTTTATGAATTCTTCTATCTGGACATTTCATATAAATGGGATAATATACTATGTGGCCTTCTGTGTCTGGCTTCTTTCACTGAGTATTCTGTCTTCAAGGTTCAACCACATTGTAGCATGTGTCAGTGCTTCCTTCCTTTTTATTGTTATTTATTAATTTTAATTTTTTTTTTTAAATTCAAGATCCATTTGTTCTCTAGTTCTGCCCACACCCTCCTTGAAAGGGCGTTGAATCCTTCCGTTCACTTTAACACCTTGTGCTGAAAACACGTGTTCCGAGGTTTCGACTATGAGATCCACATTCTTAAAGCACTAATTCTTAAACCTCATCTAGATTTCTCCCCTTGGATGGGAGGAGATGACCCAAACACAGCGAAGAACAGCTAGGACTGTGGGCTCTGCTCGCCCAGAAGACCTTGTGGCTTCCCTGACCACCCGGCTGGAGCCAGGATTAGGGCCCTGAGACGAGGGGCACCTGCTGGGCTGCTGCCCCCGCCTCCTGTCCTGTTCACTAGGCTGGCTGTCACCTCTAGTTTCCCTGGAGTTCGGGCATTCCGGACGGTCTCTGCTCATACTTCTGTGACACGCCTGCTGCCTCAGCATCGCTGATCCACACCAAGGGGGAAAGGCACACAGAACTGCTTTTCAGCACACCAACGTTCCACACAGAAGTTAAGCCTGCAGGTTCTTTGTCATCAGAGGACATTTTCAAGGCCATGACTTTCCCGGGCTCTCCACTGCTCTTGCCGGCAGACGGGATGCGCGTGCCCGTGGTGCTGAGTGGGCGCACCCCCCCGGCTCCACTCCGGTTCACTCTCCTGGAGAACTGAGGGTGGTGCCCTGGGCTCGTCAGCAGGCTCTACCCTGAACCCAGTCCTAGAGTGACAAGAGCCACACCTGCAGGTCTGTTCCACTGACCAGCTGCACAGGACCGAGCTGAGCCACGGACCTTGGTCTGGATTGTGTTGGCTGGTCGTTCTTGCCTAGGTTCACAGGCCAACAGCCGCTGCCCTCCCTTTCCTGCTCATCACCGCACCAGCGGCTCACTCCTACCTGCTGCCGTCACACGCCTGCCAACCTCGTGTTCGGGGGCCAGCCAAGAACTGAGACCCCAGCAGGCCCCCAGTTCCCAGCAGGCAAACTCCCCATTAAACTACTGCTGCCTAGCGGTGTTCTCGAGGCTTCAGAGCCGGGAGAGTGCGGAGAGCTGCTGGAGGGTCTTAGGGGGAGGCTGGCCGCTGTCATTGTACAAACCTCAGAGAGATCAGTTCATGCCCATGACTCTAGCATCCAAGGCGTGTCCGTTTCCAGATAGCAAGTGAGTCAGTTTCCTGACAGAACCAAGTTCAAATCCAACTTTTGCCATGAACTTGCTTTAACGGGTAGTAGTATCCACCCCTTAGATTTGTCGTGAGGATTTAATGACTTAATTGATGTAAAGTTGTAAGGACAGTTGTAAGCCCAGCATATACCAAGATATTTGCAGGGGGTTTCAGTCTCAGAACACAAACCGCATGTGCACCAAATGAAGACTTTTTTATTTTCCTCTAACTCTGCTTAATTTTTATTTCAAGCAGGTAAATAATTGGAGACCATGAGGGGTTTTCCCTCCCCCCTCCCCACTAGGGGTGGCAGTGACATTCCAGGGCTGAGTCAACACAAGATGGGGTGGGGATGCTGCCTGGTCCTCACTTGTCTGACCCCCGCCCCAGCTTGCTGGGGGGGCCCTTCCTCATTCCCTGCCATGTGAATCCTTGTCCCATAGTCTGGGGGCCACGGGCAACCATTCCAGAGAAAGGTTGGAGACTCAAGGTATCTTCACTCCCCTCCCTGTTTTGGCCACTGCCTTAAACTTTCTCTTATCTCCATTCCCTGAGGCAAAGTGCACGGCCCCTCTTCCAGCAGCGGAGTGTGGAGTAGATGCCTATCAACTGTACATCTGCAGGAAAGTTTGAATAAGTCGTTAAACTTTGGTAGCTTGAAACTATCCGCTGGAGCCTATTGATACCATGAAAATCAACAAACGTTACAAATGAGGACTCCTTCCTTCTTTCCTTCCTTCCTTCTTTTCCTTTTTCTCTTTCTCTCTCTTTCTCTGTCTCTCTCTGATTTGCCTCTTTGTCTCTCAATGTCTCTCTTTCTTTGTCTCTGTCTCTCTGTGTTTGTCTCTGTCTCTCTGTTACTCTCTGTCTCTCACTGTCTGTCTCCTCCCCGGGAGAGGGAAGTGAGGGGGAGGGAGTGATAAGTTAATATTCTCAAAATATTATTCCTCCATGATACATGCCTCTGCTATGCATTTCCCCTGATTATACAGAAAAATAACTCTGGCAAAAGGGAAAAACTTGTTACTGCGGATCCCGGACTGGCTCTTGTTCATTGCCTCCTCTTTACTGAATGGTTGCAGTCAGTTTCTTTTCCAGCTTTTTCTCTGTCATCGGCTAGCTTCTCAACACCTGCATCCATGCAGTGGGCCTGTTTCTCCCTCCGTTTTAAAACATAGGACTTTAGTCAGTTAAGCGTGCTTTGAATGAGAATGAAAAAAAAAAAAAGCACCTCGTTATTTAAGCACCCTCTGAGGAGAATCTTTCTGCAAAGCAAAGAATCCTCTTGTAAGAAATATTGTTATTTTCCACTACTTTTGCAGGTTTGGGTATAGGGACTTAAAAAAAAAAAACCTTTTTATTTTAGAATAGTTTTAGATTTACAGAAATGGAAATCTAAAACTGCATAGATAGTACAGAGTGTTCCTATATACCCCACACCCAGTTTCCCCTATTATTAATTTACATTAACACGGTACATTTGTCACAATTATTGAACCACTGTCGATATATTATTATTCAATGAAGTCCATATTTTACTCAGAGTTCCTTAGTTTCTCCCTGACGTCATTTTTCGGTTCCAGGATCCCATCCAGGACGGCACGTTACATTGAGCCATCCTGTCTCCTTAGGTTCTTCTTGGCTGTGACAGTTTCTCAGACTTCCCTTGTTTTTGATGACCTTGACAGATTTGAACAGAACTGTCGTGGATTTTATGTTTTTTCTCATGAGTGGAAGGACGGGGGTTATAGGATTTGGGGAGGAAGACCATGGAGGCGATATCTCATCCCATCCCATTAAGACCATGCCGACTCCCAACATGACTCATCGCTGTGGATGCTGACCTCGATCACCTGGCCCAGGTGCTGGTTGTCAGGTGTCCCCCCTGTAACGTTCCTCTTTCTTCCAGGTGTGGAGTGTTTCTGAGTTGCGTCCATGTGTATGGCGCACAGATCCCATATTTACTTGGGGGACTTCCTGTCCCTGTGTTGTGGTTGTCCTTCTGTCTGCATGTCACTTGGATCTGTCTGTCTCAGTGGGGGAATCATTACACAAAGCCCAAGGACTGACTAACACGCTTTCCCCTCCCCTGGTGACAGTAACGCCTCTCGTGTTGGGTCCACACTGCCTCCTAGACAGATTCTCTAGCTCATGCTCTCCAGTATGGTAGCCCCTGGCCACCTCTGGTTATTTACATTAAAGTAAAATTTTTATTGAAGTACAGTTGATTTACAATATTGTGTTAATCTCTCTTGTACAGCGAAGTGATTCAGTTATACATATATATATACATTCTTTTCTATTATGGTTTATCACAAGATATTGAACATAGTTCCCTGTGCTATACAGTAGGACCTTGTTGTTTATCCATCCTAAGGTTATTTACATATCGATTAAACAAAATTAAACAAAAGTTACAATTCAGTTCCTCAGTTGCAGAATCACAATTCAAGAGCTCGGTATGCATGGGTGGTGAACGGCTACCATATTGCACAGCGGAGATTACGGACCATTTTCATGCCATGTTTCCATGATGGCCCCCGCCTCCTTGCCCCACTCCGCCCTCATCCCCACCTCTCCCATTTCCCCAGGACAAATGATGTTATCAGTATTGTTCTCCATGAACCTACAGGTATTGATGCAGTCATAGACTGGTGTATCAGGAACTTTTTGTTCTTGTTGTCTTTTTAAAAGCAACATTGTTGTTTGTTTAAAAAAAAAGTCATCACACCCCTGTTTGAGGAAAGCATCCTAAGAAGTTGTTTGGAAAATCTGGGATTTTTGAAGAATGCACTAATCATTCCATCTCTAGACCACTGTTCTAATCTACAGATCCTGGACTTGAGCTGCAGCATCTAGATTTCCAGTCTCCAGCCACCCTGCTCACTTCAGACTGGCTTCTACTGCCAATCCTAATTGGCAAGAGCCAATTCCTTAATATCTACCCTGCTGCTACTGTCTGTCTTGAATTCAGTGCGTTTTATGTACTGACCAACTCCTAGGTCTCAGGTGTGAATTCACAGGGAGCTTCTATCAGTAACAGAGGACCACTCAGTTCAGTCCTGGGTTTTTCCTCCAATCGCATGGCTTGTCCCTACACTTGTGCTATTAAATGTATACAAGTGTATCGAGTTGTACCACCTCCTATATTGTGCAATATTTAATACACTGCACTCTTAAAGCTGGCTATCCATTTATCTTTATTTCAAAAATCTGAACATAGGGCCAGAACTGTTCCCCTTTTTCCTCTGGGCCCCGTTTTCCCCATCCACTATAAGGATGGCTTAGATGGCCCTGACAAATTCTTTCAGCTCAGATATCATGGCTGTGAATTTGTAAGTCTCTTGGGACAAGAACACCTATGTTGGAAGTGGGATCCCTCAGTGATTGGTCCCATGGGCTATTTGCTGGGCAAGTGACTTAACCTTTCTGTGCCAGCTTCTCCCTTAATAACTGACTCCTTTCCTTATCAGGGCAAGAGGAGAGAGGGAAAGTTCCTCTGCACAGGGTTTCAAACTCAAAGAACTCCAGGAACCAGGCAGGAGCCTTCTGGGTCTTAGGGATGCAATAGAGAAAGATGGGGACAGTGGCAAATAGAACAGTCCCCCACGGGATAGCTCTACAGAGGACAGAGTGAATCAGCTCCAGCCAGCAAAAACGTGGCCCCCTCGTTTGAGACCCTCTCTGCTCTAGAATGATTGATCACCTTGGCAAGGGTCTGAGACATTAGCTAAGAGGTATTGGGTGTTAGAAGATCCAGGGCAAATCCCAGCTGGGCTACTCAGCAGCTAGACTGGATGCTTGACTGCATGAACTCCAGTCCTTTTACCTGTTAATGGAACTGAACCTCTGTGCCTTGGAAAGTGTATGACGCAGAGCCCAGAGTTAACCTGCAAATTCAGAGGGCCAGTTAACTGTGTCCAAGACTCCATCCCTCCCCTTTACGCAGTTCCCTTGCCCTGGGAACAAGAAGGCCAGCTGGGGGTGAAGATGGTGAAATGAAGCTTAATGAATAATCCGGGAGACTGGCCAGGGTGTTTGGCAGCCTGAGGTGTCAGGGACAGGGCCTGGCTAACAAATGTGGATCTGGGAGGGGATGGGTCAGTGACTTGGACCCCTCTCCAGCCTCATCTGCTCTCTGATGCAGCCGCTCTGGCTTCCCCACTCCATCCTCTTCCAGGTCAGGAGCTCTGAGTCTAAGCCCTGGCTCTGCCCCTGCTGTGTGACCTCAGGAAAATGACCTAGCCTTTCTGAGCCAAATCTGATTCCACAATGTGGAGTTCATTACAATACCTACCTCCCCCAGGGTGTTGTAAGCGTCCTGTGATAGAACGATGTCATGTTCCCAAACTTCGTACATTCACGTGCTGCCTTTGCAATTTTTGCCACACTGTTGTGTCACACCTTTTATAATACTGATAAAGCAACACTAGCAGCAGCAGCAGCAAACACAGGATACTTCCTACTGTTCTAAATAGTTTACATCTGTTAATTTTTTTTTTTTGTTTTGGCCGCACTGTGCAACATGGGGGATGGTTCTCTGACCAGGGATCGAACCCGTGCCCCATGCATGGGGAGCGCAGAGTCTTAACCACTGGGCTGCCAGCGAAGTCCCCATCTGTTAACTCTTTTGATCCTCACATAAACTCCACTAGGGAAGCAGTATTTTTTTTTTCTACGCACCAAATGGAAATTCAGTATTATAATCAAAACTTCAAAGTCTTCCTCCCATACTGCTTTAATGTAAG